GCTCCTGGAAATTTTAAAAGACAATATGGCAGCAACAATCAGGATGTAATAAAAAGAGAAGATAAAAGTGAAGAAATCCTCCAGAAAGTCGAACAAAAACACAATAAGAAAAATAAGAGCAAACAATTAAGAAAATTGAAGATTAAATCAGGAGGTCCAGACACCCAGTTATCTGCAAAGCAAGAACAGAAGACAGAAAGGAGGAAATTGCCAAAGAAATAGAACTTTGACCAAATAGTGTTTAAGTCCTTTAATAACTTCTGTTATTAAATATTAAAATGTTCCCTAAGCCCCCTGAATATGCCCCTTTCCCCATCTTGTAGCCCCAGTCCCCATGAAAGCACAGTAGGTTCACTGAGGGGTCACCCTGGTGCCCATTAGCCTGCCCGCCATGGCTCCTCACCAGCCTCTAGTTCTGTAAGACCCCATGGGGGACATGGTGCTCCTGGTGCAGTCCTGGCACCCACAGTCAGATGCTCAGTGCCTGCTGAGGCCCCCGAGGCTGAGCCTTCCACCACTGGCCAGCCTGCCCCAAAGTCACCCTCATAAGTTTGTGCCCAGTAGCTGTGGCCCCTGTAGAGAGAGCTTGTACCAGTTATTAAATACTGTATTTTGGATATCATTCTGGGAACTGGTGGGTAGAAGGCAGGAAGGTGACACTAAGGTTCTGGCTCCCATACTGCCAAATCTAGCAGCCGTATTTTCCTTGGGCCCACCGGACGGGCTATGTGTGATTCTCCCGAGGTCTTCTTGCAGCTCCCAGGACCCTACCACTTCTGGTGGGCTCTTCCCTCTGACCATTCTCTCTCAGACTGCCTTTTACACACCTGCCCAGATGGACTCACCTCCTTTCATGGTTTTCAGTCCCGGATCCAGCAGTCCACAGTTTCAGGTTCTCTATGTCTACACACCACCATTGGAGGGCCTACAATGTGCCGGGCACTGCACAGATAGCAGAGACCCACACAGACCCATGCATCTGACCACCCCCTGAAAGGTGGCATCTCGTGCCACCTTTCCCCTTCCCCCAAGTCTCTCCCCTCCTGTATTCTACATTTCCAAATATGGCCCCTCTATCTATCCAGCTGCCCAAACCAGAGACAGGGGCCTCCCCACTAACTCTGCCTTCTCCCTTACCTACCAACAGCCTGTCCCCAAGAACTAATTATTATGCTTCTTATATATTTCTCCTATTAGTCTCCTCTTCTCCAGCCTCTCTCTTCTCTGTTATTAGGTGGACCCTACTCCCCAGTCAGCCATAGCTACTGCCCTGGGGCATTGTCCAGGCCTCTTTCCACCTTGGTGGGTGACACAGCCACAAGGAGCCCAACCTCAGAGAGCCAGGGAGGGAGGATGAGCTCAGGTTTTGAAGGTCAGTGTCCATCTCCCTCCTCTATTTACCATATCCCTTGGCAGGAGCTATCCTCTTTAAGGATTTCAATGTCCTTGTCAGTAAAACACAGGTAATATTTTCTTTGTAGGAGCAGAGAGAGGTATGAACAAGACCATTTATGTGTCATAGGAAAGACAGCAGAAGCCCAGTGGCTTGGGTTTGAATCCTAGCTCTGTTACTTAAAGGCTGTGTGACCATGGGCAATTTACCCAGCCTCTCTGTGTTTACTAGGTCTGGCAGGTATGAGAAACATCCAGTGTGGACTAAACAAGAAGCAGTAGAGAGGTCAGAGAGGTGATGCGAGCTTCATAAGACTTTAAGGGCCACGTGCAGACTTTGGCTTTGACCCTGAGTGAGATAGGGGTGTTAGAGGATTTTGAGCAGAGGAATGAGCTGATCAGACTATGTTTTTTTGTTTTTTTTTT